CCTAAGCAGGATTTAGTTGATTCCAGCTATGACCACATTGATGTGTCTTTTGAGCAAGTAACAATATACTCTTTTTCTAATCTGTTTCACAGTGTAAGTGGATATCTGCTAGGTTTAAATCCCAAGGCACTAACTGCAACAACATGATATCCTAGAGGCCATGGCATAAAGGCCAGGATATTATTAAGGAGCTTTCATTTTCTATGACAGTGTAAACAGATTCACTCATCCATGACGGTCCTACGTTCTTTGCACAATATAGATTCGGGTTCAGGCATTCTCACATACACAGATTAGTATGGGACGTCATTAAATCCTAGATCTTACAGCCATCTTGTAATCGAAAGCTCTCTATACTCTCAATACAAAATCAGTAACCTAAGATGGAAGATTTTGAAATTGTAATAAATAGTAATAAAACTCATATAGGAAACCTTAAGCCCTATAACGCAACTGGTCCAAAATAGATTGCCATAAGAAATATGGCAAATTGTGCAGAAGAATTAGCTCCAATCCTAACTAAAATCCAATTCTTACAAACAAAAATTGTCCTGGATGACTGGGTATCACCAAATATTTGCCCCATTCCAAGAAAGGCAGTAAGTCGATATATGCAAAGTATAGACCAGTCTCATACTGACATCGGTATCCAGTTACTAGAGCATACTATTTTATATTCATATATTAATAGAAACCTTATCAAACTATATCAAAATGGATTCCAAAAGAAACATTCATGCGAAAATCACTGGATCAGCCACTAGCTTAATCAAGGAAATAAGCACCATACTGATGTGCAGATCATTCCATACTGTCCAACATCAAAGATTACTTTACAAACTTTGTAGATACGGAATATCAGGACAAACACTAAATTGGATCCAGTCAGGCTTACAAAAACGACTCAGCGTGTTGTGACTGTTCATGTTTTTGTTATACATTGACATTGGAGAAAATCTCAGATCCAGAACTCAAAGATCAAGTTATTTGCCGACAACTGTTTACTTTTTCGACCTGTAAGTAATTGAAAAATCAGATCAGAAGCAACTTCAAAACTTCTAAAAAAAAATGTAATTTAATTCATACAATTGCCACAAAATTACTATGACATGGAGTAAAAATCCATTAAATTTTTGAATACATGGGAACCACACATAAAGTTCTAAATGATTTAAAGAAAATCCTAGGTTTTCAGAGAAGAAACTTATCAAGATGTGAAGCAAGTCGAAGCAGCAGCATACAAATCATTTACAGTATTTTGTTCAAAACTTAAATATGCTTGCTCAGTCTGAAATCCAAATCAAATTTGTCTTATAAACAAGATTGAAATGGTGCAAAGAAGAGCTGGGTTTTCTGACAAGAAACTTATCAAGATATGACGCAAGTCAAAGCAGCAGCATACAAATCACTTACAGTATTTTGTTCAAAACTTAAATATGCCTGCTCATTCTAAAATCCAAATCAAATTTGTCTAATAAACAAAATTGAAATGGTGCAAAGAAGTGCCGCAAGATTCACAGCAACAAAATACTACAGTCACTTAAACTCTCAAACAGTTACCAATAATGATATAGCCATAAATATTCTAACATATATCATTAAACCATCCAGAAGTATTTACTTTATAAATTTACCTCGATTCAATGTCGTACACAAAATTATGAAAAAAGATTCTTGCCCTAAAACAGTAAGTGATTAAAATAACATTTCACTAATAACACATCAGCCAAGTTCCTTAAAAGTTAGTAAAAAAATAAATAAATAAATGAAATAAATTTCAAAACAAGTTGAGCACACGTTGTATATAATCTACAATACAAACAAGGTGAAGTCTCTAATTAAACGATTCCGAGATTCTGTAATTTGAATCTTTGTTGAAGACCATCATTTTTCAGAATTTATTTTATATTATTGGATAAAGATCATATAAAATATAATTAACTCTTTTTAAAAGACCAATGTGAATGTTTGGCACCCTTTTTTTAATTAACAGCATTTTCTAATATTTAGCAAGGTTTTTTGAAAATATCATTTTAGCTGAAAAAGATATTAAAATAACAAATATTAAAATAATATATATAAGCAATTTTAAGTTCAGTATAGTTATATATGCAATTTAAATAAGTATATTTTAAACATTAATAAGAATAAGAATCAATATAGTAAAATTATAATTTTACTAAATGATCATACATAACATATCATCATCACAACACCACTACAACCATCATCCTCATCATTGTCATTATTTGTTTATAAAGAAAAATATTAAGATGAATAGCAGCATTCAAGAACAGTATTAATTTAGTGTATTTTGTAAACAACATAAAATAATTAAGTGAGAAGAATAATTACTTGTCCATTTTATGTATCTGTTCCTCATTGTAAGCGAGACGCTTGGCACGTTTATCATCCCTAAATTGATCTGAAATTGTTTTTGTACCTTTGACGAGCACTTCAAATCGATTATAACTGAAAAACAAAGAAAACAAAATTAAAATCTATACATTTTATTTTATTTATTATCATTGTATTTTTATCAATATTATCATTAGATATTAATAAGGGTGATATACTTTCATGTTACAATTGTATCACAATCTGAAGACAACAGAGGCTATAAAGGCCAATCTAAGCCACTGGTCGCAGCACAGAGACTCACCCAACAATTATAGTGGGTGGGCCAGCCCTCCTGTACGCCCTTACCAATAATTTGACAAAAAAGTTTTGAATACTGATTTTGACAAAACAACAGGCTGATGGATCACCAGTTGACTGTTGTTAATCATGGTTGAAAACTATTACTGTTTTGGAGGGCCTTCAGCTCCTGGACCCTAAAAAGGGGTCTACAGTGAGTGACCCACCAGGCCCCAGCTTCTCTTTCCCTCACAAAGTTCTTACCTGGCCCACCTACTATTCAAACTCAGCTGCCACCTATGATCTAAGCCAATCACAGGAATATTACATTTCCAACGTTCATAGATGGACAATGGCTGGCTGAACTGCATAATATATAGGGCCTATAATTATTGTTTTATTACCCAAAAAATGACAAAACCATAAAACTTAAGACTCTGTACAAAAAAACTGTTGATTGCCCATATAATATAGCTTATATAATATGATGGCACATCATGGTCATTATTTGATGACATCATGACCATACTTAGGCCATGCTTAGGCATGTAAAATGTTCTTGTCAAAATTTTGTTAGTCTGGACAGAGGTTTATATTTACCAATGTTCATGTGGCTGACACTTCTGCTTGTCATCATATGACACTTCCAAAACATTTTGATAAATGATTTTTCTGTTCAGTTTATCAAATTCATCAAAGAGTGGATGCACTGAATTAACCAATATCTAAAATAAAGAAGGAGTTTGTTACACTACAAATAATGCAAGGCAAGCAGAGGTGGAGGAAGCCATAAATTTTACCTTAACTTGTTCGGCTCTAGCAATCATACAAATTTGTTAAATTTTGAAGTAAAATCTAATGCTCTGTGGAAACAAATTTAAATTTTCTCTGATTTGCCCATATATGGGTAATGTAATTGCTCACCCTTATATAATGGGAAAATCACTAGTATTTTTTTCATATAAAACTTTAGTGTGGGGAGCTTAACAAAAAGAAATTGAATACAGGACATAAAATCAACAAATATAAAGCAAAATAATTTTAATGACTATATTCCACAAAAGTGCTGAAAAAACTAAAAAGGTGGGGGGAAGGAAGGGGATCTAGTATTTTTAAAAATGGGGCTGAGGTGAACTTAAGCCAGGTACTCACTGCATGCAACGGCAATGCAACTAACTCATCAACACACACACACATCTTTACAGCATACCACCAAAATTAACACTAAACTCCTGAGCCTTACCCTAACAACTGTCTAACACTAGTCTTACCTGTTGAGAATATTCTTGCCGCATTAGCATCAGTTGCTCCTTTTGTAAGTTGGCTCTCATCTCCAACTCTTCATTGATTCCATCTTTCAAATCATCAGGAATAATTTGAAGGAGATCAATATCCAACTTTGACATTAGCCACTGTAAATTTTCTTCAATATATACTTTGTGAGTCTTAAGTGTTTCAAGGTTGACCTGGCTTTCTTTGATTTTATTTCGCAAGATCCCACTGTTTAAAGTAAACCAGACACCACAATATTATCTAACATTTATTCTTTTAATGAAAAATGTTTATAGAGAATGCTACTCCTAGAAGCCCTAGAACACCACATAATATTCTATGTGATTCTCCATCATACAAGTATCCTTAGAAGACTCGGAGGTGGAGTTGTTTTGTAGTTTGAGCCTTGTGTCCATTATATCATAACACTCACTACAGTAATCGCTATAGTACGTACAGTGTAGCTGTTCCCGATAAAATCGAAAAAGTTTCCTTGATTCATCTGCGATGAATCAAGAGTTCAAAAAGATTCAGCCTTCCTGCCACTAACCATTACCATCTGCAATTTACTAAACATCATCAACTTCCTGACAATCATCTGGACATGATTTTCTGAAGGTGATGTTGCTGAATTTCAATAAAAATTTACTGAATACCAATCAGTTTTTTGTTTTGTACGAAAAAGTGTAAGAACAACCTTAGATCCTACAAGGAAGCTATCTACGTTTTTTTGTAGGCCTAAGCCTGGTAATAGTTGGTAGTTGGCAAGATTACCAATATCAGGCATTTCCATTAAATCGCTACCAAGTGTCACTGACAACTGGAGACCAGTCATGGTGTGATCATGGACAGATGTTTTTGTCTAATAAAATTTGGTACTTTGGCTAGAGCTTTAGTTGTAGTTTAGTACAAACTCTAGGTGTTTTACAAGAATTGAACTTGGTAGAATTAAAGATTTATAAATACTATGGATTAGCAGGATCATCAATCGAAGTGGAAATCTATTCTAGAACCTTTGAAAAATAAGTCTGTTGTCTGCACCACTTCCCTGCATCTGATGAATCCTTAAAATCCACTCATAGTTTAGCAATGTTATCACCCACCACCCTTAAAATGTCTACCACCCAGGGCCACCCTGCCTTGAAGTTTTTAACTTAGTCTAAAGCTACTTTTATGGCCTTCCACCCACCTTTATTAACCCACTTGCCCATCCTTAAAATCCACTCTTATTATGTGAAATTTACGAATGTTATCCTCCACTCACCCTTAAAATGTCCACCACCCACCCTCAGTATTTTACACCTACAACCCTGACAAACCTACTCCCCTTTCTACAGCTAGAACACTGCCGAGTTTGTTTACAAATTCCTTCCTTCTCATAAAATGAAATTTGTATAACACAGTAATTCAGCTATTATTACAACTTAACAATCCATAACTATTATACACACATATCTGCAGTGACTGCATTTTAGCATACCTGGATCTCATATTGATTTTGGTTTAATGGACTGCATTATAGGCCTACAGTAATAAAAAGGGGTTGCTGGATCGAATAAAATATTTTGTTTCTAATGTTGTATCTATGTTGAAAAATTCTTTATCACCTGAAAATATATACCAAGGTGTCATAACTTACACCCTGATATTGCCTATTTAGAAGTTTGTGTATGTTGCAAAAGACTGAACTGAAAAAAATAAATGATAAACTAAAAACAATAACATCATTAAAAAATTTGCATAAACTAAAATAAGAATGCAATATATTTATAATACCCTCTTGATTAATCTTGGCCTTCATGTTTATTTACGGTAATGGACATGTTCCTTTATTTTCCTGCATGGGATAGCTGTGGTGCTGTGCCGTGAACGCGAATGACTATATGCAGCTGCTGTATTTGACATAGGTTCGAGGCACGCCATAATGGCTTTTTGTATTTTTTCATATTGAAATTTTTTTTATTTCGAAAACGTAATTTGTATAACAATCTAAAGCCAAACATGAAAAATTTCCAATCGATAGTTTCTTCCGTACCTAGTTGTTCTATTTGAGTGGAAAATATTGATTTTTTGACAGGTCGATATTCTTCATAATTATGTAGTACCAACTCGACCAAGTAAAATAATGATATGTGTATAATAAAGCAATATATTTCGATGGCCACTTGGTATGGAAGAGACTTGCTAGAAAATCAGTTTAAATTTTTAATTTTCAAATCATATTTATATTTACCATCCATCGGAATGAATACACAGACCTTTTGGAACTACTGTATGGGCATTGATGCTGTAAGTATTTGGTAATTAACAACAGGCTTTCAGAGGTATAGTGGTTTTGCAGATTTAGCTACATCATAATAATGTGTTCCAATATTTTTACAGTGTAAGTGGTCAAATGGTTCAGAAGGTGATTACCAATTAATAATAATGGTGTTGATTTGTATAGCGCCGATAACCAACAAACAAGATGCTCATGGCGCATGATAAGTGGAATAGTGACTCGATTAATGATTTTCCTCTCCCCTAAGGGCCCCTGTCTGTGTTACCCGGTAACATGGTACCAGCAACTTTCGTTGTCCACCATAGGGGCTGTCTGTACCAGTACACCAGGGTATCCCCTACTCGACTCGAATGATGTACTGGGTTCTTTATAGTGCATACGGGTCATTGTGTACACTGGTCCTACGGTTTATTATCTGAGAAGACTTGTTCTACCACCAAAGCCATAGGCGAGCGTGCCGTTCGAACCAGTGCCGATATTAGGTTGTGGCACTCTGCTTGGCTATGCAACTCCTAAAGAGAAAGAGAGACTAAGCAATGGGCCATGGTAACATGGTTAAATATGGGCTATGTATTTCAAATATTAACCATTTAAGAAGTCCCTTAATTGTGAAGTTATGTTGAACATTATTTTCAACATCTTCATTGGTGAAAAAGAGGTAGAGTATTCCATCTCATGTACATTGTTCAAGGCACCATGTATCGTTAACTTCCTTAATTCGTCCTGTTATCATTTTTCTCAAAAGTGAGTACAAATCCCAAACTTAGGATGGAAGCTATTTAAGTAATTTATTCTACTAAAAGTAAGCCTCAACTAAAAAATAGTAAAAATGACAATAGGTTGTACTTTTTATTGTTTATTACTGTTTGTAAATTCATTAAAATGTTTTAACCATTAAAAAAAAAATAAAGAAATATAGTAGGCACTAGCTGCCCAGAAGAGTGACAAACTCCTAAATTACAGTCCAAATGATTACCTATATATTCAATAAACTTTAAAGTATTTTTGCGCTAACCTGGAGCATATTTAAGAACAGAACTGAAATAAATATTTAAAACAGTAAATTTAATATCTAATAATTTATTCATTCTTTTTATAATGCATTGAGATTTAATTTAAAAAAAAAAACCAAGAGAATATACTTGTTCACTATTTACTTTTCTTAAGAATGTTATCATTTACATCTCATCTAGGCCTACATTTTTCAATAATAATAATATTTTGTTGATTAACTTGTTTATTTATTTAGGTCGCTTTTTCTGAGACTTAAAAAGCCTAGCCAGTTAGCAATCTATTCCTCCTAGGAAGTTTCAGCTATCTCTCCTAGCCAGTAGCAGCCTAGAGTATCTCCTAGCAAGTTGCAGCCTATCTCTCCTAGCCAGTTGCAGCCTATCAAACAAGTAGCAGCATATACTTCCTAGCAAAGTTGAGGCCTATCCATGCATGGAGTTATAATTATTTTGATAATTAATTAATTTTATAACTCCATGATCCATGCAAACAAGTAGCAGCCTCTAACAAACTACACCTCTTATATCTCCCAGCAAGAAGCAGTATTCCTTGGATCAAGTAGCTTGCAAAAAACACAAGATTATGGATTACTGAATGAATACCATTAAAAAAACATAAAAGCAATCCTAAAACAATCAAATATGAATTTTGGACTTCCTTCTAAATATATGAATCAGTTGATTATATTATTACTAATACATTTTCCTACATTATATGGTGCATTAAAAATATTATGAAAGTTTGAAAAACAAAACTAAAGTCTAACCAGCCCATAGGTTTCAGAGCATCTTTACTCTACCACTACTGTAGTTCTTATAGCTTAAATACAAGTGAGAAACAGCGTGGTAACTTGACGCGATGTTCTGTGATACGGTCAATAGCATACGAGATCACGAGTTCGAAACGAGTTATCATTTTCCTTATAAATTTTTTTTTTTTATTTCCTAGAAAGGAAAACTATTCAACAATTCATTGTCATTGATATAGTTTTCAGATCAATAAATACCCACATGTTTCCTTTGTGGTTTTTGACAGACCTGGATGATTGGTGTGTTTATTTTGTTGAACAAGCTCCACGGATCGAATTATTCGATTCTAAGCCTACACCACGCTCCAGGGAGCCTACATCATTATTCTTTCTAAGCATGCATAATGCTTTAACACTATCAAATGTTATGTGACACATTTGTGCGATGTGCCCATATATGGGCACGATGATGTCATATTACACCCAAATATGGGCATATCACATTTATTGTCACATAAAGTTTGATAGTGGTGTGGACAGGTCTTAATTAAGAAGCAATGTTGCTGGGAAGGCCTAAAGGCCTGTCCAGACTATCAAATTTTATTTGACAAAAACATGTGACATGCCTAAATATGGTAATGATGACATCACATCATGGCCATATATAGGCACATCATGACTATATATGGGCATACAACAGTTTTTCATCAAAGAAAATTTGATAGTGTGGATAGTTTAATTTATCTTTAGCCCTTTTCAGACTTTCATATTCTATTTGACAAAAACATGTGACATACCTAAATATGGTAATGATCATACATAGGCACATCATGACTTTTTATTTGTATACAACTATTTATCTTGAAGAACACAGCCACTTAATTTCTTGCAGGAGGTAGCTTTGGTAGCATAGCCCGAACGGCTGTGCGAAGGTTCAGTAAGTGGCAGGCCACTATTTCGCAGAGGATCGACGTATGCTATCATTGCTTTTGTTAAATATATTTTCTTTTTACGACCAGTTTGAAATCGATAGACATTCATTATAGTCAAATGGCATTGTGAATTTGTATTGAACTAACTCCCCTGTTATCTGATAAATTATTTGCGTTGGTATATCGTAAAATTGATTTTATTTACTAGGCCCAATGAACCATTTTACATCAATTGATGGCATTGCAAAGGGAAATAGCTGGTTCATTTTAAAATTTTCATATACAACGCAAGTTACTGCATTTGAATTATAAAACAATCATAGGATTTATAAACATTAATTATTAAAAATGTCCTGGGATATTATAAAACAAAAATGAGGTATCAGAGGCCTAAGCAGGGACAAGGAACTGTAGGCCTATTTCACCCATGCCCAGGGATCATTGTGTTCGGAAGCCTATAGTAGAGCTCACACAGGTTTGAGATACCATACTGTAGACCTACACACAGAACTTTCTTCATACCAGGTAGGCCTACTCTGGCCTCCTTATCATTTTTCATAAGTGAGTACAAAACTTATAGTTAGGATGGAAACTAAAGTAATTTATTTTAACTAAAAGTATGCCTCAGCTATGCTAAAAATACAACATGTTGTGCTTATTTATTTTGTATATTACTGTTTATTCAAAAGTTGAAATTTTAAAAAAATCAACACAAAAAAATATAGTAGCCACAAGAAGCCCAGAAGAACTTATTATCAAACAATGTTTACACAAATTCATATGGCTTTGAAGTATCTGTGCTAAATGCAGGGGCGTAGGCTGGGGGTGCGGCCGCAACCCCCAAAAAAGTAAAAAAAGCATGAGTACAGTAGAACCCCTCCATTGGGACACCCCTATTAAGGGGACACTTTTTTGGGTCCAGAAGGTGTCCCCTTAATAGGGATTCCACTGTATTCACAAAATAATATAGGCTTATTCCCCTACAAGGTCCAGAATTTCCCAATGGGTTTACATACCCTGAGCCTGTCCCCCACATAATTACTTATTTCCCATCCGTCGCCATCTCCATATGTCAATTAATACTGGTACTCAAAGCCACTAGATATAGTTAACCACTCAGAAAAAGCTGACACTTGTTAACAGTGTTAGCTTAGGTGACATTCCTGTTCAAAAACATGCTTGGGTCATTATTAATTCTATGTTTTCCTGTATGCCTAAAATTATGAGATTGAGTAGCACATATTTACTTATGTGAATGTCGTCTCACTGCTTTAGCAAATTCTTATTTGACAGAAACAACAGGATTTTGTATAATCCAATTTTTCTAGTAACATTTGTACAGAAAGCCGAAATATTGCAGGTTTGTAACATTTATTTCACTGCTTAAACAAAAGAAAATTACCCCAAAAAATACTTGTGAAACCAGATGAATATATTCAAAGATAAGCAGGATGCTATATATCAATGCATTGCTACCAGTATTTTTGAAGACCTGGATGACAGCTGTATCTATTTTGTTTATTGATCTTGACGGATCAAATTTTTCGCATTGTGGGCCTACTACAACATGCTACACGGAGCCTACAGGTTATAGCATGCATAATGCTTTATCCACACTATTAACTTTCATGTGACAAATTTGTGTGATGTGCCCATATATGGGCATAATGATGTCCTATTATACCCAAATATGGGTATTCGTCACATAAAGTTTGATAGTGGTATGGACTTAAGAAGCAATACATTTCTATATCTACTTGAGGTGGACAATGCCTGATTAGTATCAATTTTTGTAAATATCAGTGCATAATTATAACAGGAATATAGGATGTCATAAAAACATGGCATATTGTAATGCTGTTCAGTCTTTAGCCCTGTCCAGAAATTCATATTCTACTGACAAAAAAATGTGATATGCCTAAATATGATCATGATGACATCACGTCATGATAGGCACATCATGACTATATATGGGCAACTGATAGACTGGACAAGGGCTTTAAAATGGGTAATATAGGCATTTCTGCTAGAGTAAACACAAGCTTGTAAGAACCCATGCAGGGTAAAATTAAGAAAACAAACCAAAAACAATCACCCCAATGTGCCTTTTGTTTATACATGGACAACAAATGAATATCTCTATTTAATGAAATATACCATTATTTTGCAATTCAATTTTACATTGTTTGTTTATGTTTTCAACTATAAGGTAATGAAATCACAGGCTGCTATCACATAAAAACCCAGTCTCAGCTACAGATGGCCATTAAAGATGACAATAGTGTTGTTATACCTCAGGAAAGTTACAGAAAATAGATTAAAGTAAGTATTAGGAAGATACAAAAGTTTCTGAAGGTGTACAACTTCTATTTAAAAAAAAAAAATTATTTCATACTGATTTACATATTTTTTAATAATGTAATTAGCCTATTTGTTGTAACATGCAGGATACAGAGGAGCAGAATTTAATCAAATATTAAATAGTACACTTAAAATTATCTAACAATACTACCTGCCTAGCTCACAAACAACTATTAATTTTGTAATTAAATTCTACATTGGTTTTTTTTTTTTTTTCAGCTATATAATAAAATTAAATCGCAAGCTACTATCAAACAAAAACCCAGTCTCAGCTACTGATGGCCCTGAAAGATTGCAACAGTTTTGTTATCATAACTTAGGCAAGTTACAGAAAAAAAATAGTAGGCACTAGGAAGATACAAAAGTTTATTAGGTGTGTAACTCCTATTTTTAAAAATATATTATTTTATGCTAATGACTTACACATTTTAAAATAACATTAAACATATTTGTTATAACATGTTGGGTACTGAAGGACAGAAATGAATCAAATATTAAATGGTACACTTAAAATTATCTAATAATACCACCCACCTAGCTCCATAAACAAGGGGAAGAAAATTAAGAGCATCTTATTTACTTTTCAACTTTTGTCAAATTTTTGTTCTTAAAGGTTATGACTTCTCTGGCAACCTTTTACCTTAAAATACCTTTATTTACTTGCGTAAAGTTGCATTGGTAGCATAGCCCGAAAGTCTGTGGTAATGGTTAGTAAGCGACAGGTCGCAATTTGGCACAGGATCGAAGTATGCTATAAATGCTTTTTTTTTTTTCCTAGAAAGAAGATTATACCAATTCATTACTACCAGTATAACAGTTTGATCTTTAACATACATTCCCTTGTGGTTTTTGATTGTTTACTTTGGAATATTGTAAAAATTAATTTATAGTCACTAGGCCTCATGAGTCATTGCATTATGTGAAGGTATGTAGGAGCGTGGTAGGAGGTTTTCCAGTAGACAACGGAAGTACTGCATGTCATAGGATCTATGGAATATTATTATAAATGTCATTGGATATCATGCTAAGACATCGTAGGCTGAAGTATTTGGAACAAGGTACTGTAGGCCTATTTTACCCCATGCCAAGGAATCATTATGCTAGGCCTGTAAGCCTACATGTACAATTTCACACAGTAGGTTTTTTATACCATAGGTCTACCTTTCATACCAAAAGGAGGCCTACTCATCATATCAACAATGTAAGTCTTGATTTTGATTAGCAACCATACTAGTGCTCCTGGGAAGCTAAAGCCTGCCTCCAACTATTACTCAGTATGGAGATGAAGTGGGGGAAGAGGGAAGGGGAGGGGTCGTTGGAGTTTATTAACTCTAACATGTCATAGTCTGTCAAGAACCAACCTAGTCATCTTGGCCACCACCAGCTTACAGTAGCAGAAGATATGCTATTCTATACATTGCATGTCAACATCATTTTCTGGATTAAAAGTACCCTGGGCCTGAGTAAATGTTATTCAAAATGTATGGGTAACAGACCCTAGGGAGCATTAAAAGCTAGTACATGACATTTTTGTGGGCATTATGAGTATCTGTTGGAAACAACGGTCAATCTTTACACACTATTTTTGTATGTTATGTTATAATAATAAAAGTTGAAAAACAAAGGAAAACTACATGTTTGTTTTTAATCACAGTCAAATAGCCAATAAAATAATATTTTTTCAGAGCTGTACTATCTGCCATGATTTAAAAAAAATAAAAATTTGAATTCCACATTAGAAATGTGTAATTTGTTAAGTTATTAACATAAAAATTTGAATTAAAAAAAATTCCCCCGTCAATTTTCGGGCAGTTAAACAATAACTTTCCTGTATTTCTTTCACACAGATCCTAATTTGGCTGATAATCAATTTAAAGATTTTTGTAGTAAAATGTCTATAAATCAGTGAAAACCATTTTTCTTCTGTGATCTATTTCTCGTTGGAAGTTAATAATTAATTTGATCCTTTCAAATGAGCTATTCAATTTTACATTTGAATTTTTTAGGTATTTTCCTGCCTTTTCGACTGCGAGTATATAACTATTTATTGTTATACTCATTCACAGCATAAATAGTAGCTTGATTGTTTCTGTGATAAATACATGAAATGAAAGTAAAACATTCTGCTGTGAGATATTTAGACCCATGTAACTGTTCCCTGGTCTTAACTCTGTACTCACCAGAAGCACCTTACAGCCAAGCCCATCTGGTCTTGCATCAAAAGGAGGCTCTGAACAATCATCAAGTAATAATACATTGAACCGCAACAAACCTGCAAAATAAGCAATATACATATTAGTATACGTCTATAATATGTACATAAAGTTTGGTATGTTGGCCAAGCGGAGGTGAAATAAATGAACTTTCTCAACCATTACCCATCGACACCAACTTCCATGAGACAATTGATAGTAAAGTAGTACAAAGATGGGTTATTTTCTGAAAGATTCTTGCTTGCTTGCACGAATGTAGAAGGCCATCCTGAACATCTGGGAGACTCAAGTGATTTTCGGAGACTTAGGACCTGAATAACTATAATAGGATTCATGCGAATATGCCGGCTTGACCAATACTATTTATGTTTAGAAAGAGTATAATACAATCAGTAAAAATACAGGAGCCACTAACATCAAGAAGAATACGAATAAAATAATAATAAAAATATCATTCTAATAATAAAGGGTGTAATAATTCTACTGTGATCACACCAAATATGAAAACTTTTAAACTCAACACTTAAACAATGCTCTTAATATTTTCCATGACTAAGTTTAAGACTCAACTCTTCTCATATTCTATGACTTTAAGACTCAACTCTTCAAATACACAAATACACATCACTTCCCTCTTTGAATATACACAATCTTCTAAAATCTGCAATCTGTTTCTGCATACGAAAATCCATCCCTATTCTCAATAACTTCATAAAATGCAATCTTCCTCACTCAAAGTTTACCATACAGGCGCATTCTAAATTTCATAAAAATGTACAGTACATCCACTTATAAGAAGTTCCATACAATGTTCAGAAATTACGGAAATTATTTTCCAATTTCATATGGAATGGAAAATGAAAATTAGTGGATTATTTGGGAATGTTTGTACTGTACTCTATAACAAAATTACTAGGCAGGAAAAGGAGAGGGTGCGGTTTTGGGTTTGCAGGGAGAGATCGTAATGGACTGCTGATGCCAAGGACAATGTCAATTTAGCACAACTAAAACTACATGAACTTAACCACCAAATTCCAAAACAGTACTACCACATCACTTACTGCTTTAAAGTACCAATTACAAACCATTTCTGTACTCTACCAGCCATACCAATTACAAACCATTTCTGTAGTCTACCAGCCATACCAATTACAAACCAATTTCTGTACTCTACCAGCCAATCCAATTACAAACCATTTCTGTACTCTACCAGCCATACAAATTACAAACCATTTCTGTACTCTACCAGCCATACCAATTACAAACCATTTCTGTACTCTACCAGCCATACCAATTACAAACCATTTCTGTACTCTACCAGCCATACCAATTACAAACCATTTCTGTACTCTACCAGCCATACCAATTACAAACCATTTCTGTACTCTACCAGCCATACCAATTACAAACCATTTCTGTACTCTACCAGCCATACCAATTACAAACCATTTCTGTACTCTACCAGCCATACCAATTACAAACCATTTCTGTACTCTACCAGCCATACCAATTACAAACCATTTCTGTACTCTACCAGCCATACCAATTACAAACCATTTCTGTACTCTACCAGCCATACCAATTACAAACCATTTCTGTACTCTACCAGCCATACCAATTACAAACCATTTCTGTACTCTACCAGCCATACCAATTACAAACCATTTCTGTACTCTACCAGCCATACCAATTACAAACCATTTCTGTACTCTACCAGCCATACCAATTACAAACCATTTCTGTACTCTACCAGCCATACCAATTACAAACCATTTCTGTACTCTACCAGCCATACCAATTACAAACCATTTCTGTACTCTACCAGCCATACCAATTACAAACCATTTCTGTACTCTACCAGCCATACCAATTACAAACCATTTCTGTACTCTACCAGCCATACCAATTACAAACCATTTCTGTACTCTACCAGCCATACCAATTACAAACCATTTCTGTACTCTACCAGCCATACCAATTACAAACCATTTCTGTACTCTACCAGCCATACCAATTACAAACCATTTCTGTACTCTACCAGCCATACCAATTACAAACCATTTCTGTACTCTACCAGCCATACCAATTACAAACCATTTCTGTACTCTACCAGCCATACCAATTACAAACCATTTCTGTACTCTACCAGCCATACCAATTACAAACCATTTCTGTACTCTACCAGCCATACCAATTACAAACCATTTCTGTACTCTACCAGCCATACCAATTACAAACCATTTCTGTACTCTACCAGCCATACCAATTACAAACCATTTCTGTACTCTACCAGCCATACCAATTACAAACCATTTCTGTACTCTACCAGCCATACCAATTACAAACCATTTCTGTACTCTACCAGCCATACCAATTACAAACCATTTCTGTACTCTACCAGCCATACCAATTACAAACCATTTCTGTACTCTACCAGCCATACCAATTACAAACCATTTCTGTACTCTACCAGCCATACCAATTACAAACCATTTCTGTACTCTACCAGCCATACCAATTACAAACCATTTCTGTACTCTACCAGCCATACCAATTACAAACCATTTCTGTACTCTACCAGCCATACCAATTACAAACCATTTCTGTACTCTACCAGCCATACCAATTACAAACCATTTCTGTACTCTACCAGCCATACCAATTACAAACCATTTCTATACTCTACCAGCCAATCCAATTGTTTCTAAATCCATCAATCTTATATTTTCAAAAAGACCCTCTAAGAAATTCCAAGGCTTTTCACCTTTGCAAGAGGAGCATCATTTTCAAGGCTGTATGGTGTCGCGATCTTGGGAAGTTTTGCTGAAAAAGATAAATGAATAAATAATGTATCTTTCTAAAGCAAAATTTAGATCAGATAATTCGTCAAAGGATATTTTATACCTGATAAGTGTTGACAATCTGCTTTATTGATTAACCTGATGTTTTTTAAGTAAACTTCCTTTAATATTTAATACTATCTTACATTTTCTCCTGAATATTTGTTATCAGATCTTACTTTTTTTAAAAAGCTCAAAAGTGCATGCATAATATGCTATGAAAACATTTGTATTTGAAAAGTGGAATTAAAAAGGCTATGAAAAAAAAAAAAAAATATCATGGGGTGTTTTTTATACCGGATTACACCAAGGCCTCTATCAAACATCTACAGAACAAAGAGTGGGTTCACAGACAGACTTATGCAAATGAAGAGTCCAGCTACAACTCAGCCCAACCATGGATGTGGCTGAGGAACACATATTTATTATGGCTATGGCATGTCTGAATAGCCAGAAATGGACTTCTTAGACTTCAGGTACAGTATATTGAAATTTAAAACATTGGGATGATGGGAGGTGAGACTCAGCTGATCCTGGATAGAATAATCAAGTCATTCCAATGCTACAACCCACATCCCATGGGTGAAGAGAAAACGTGGAAAAAAACTCCTTCCATTAAATAAGTAAAATAAGCGACATCTGAATTTAAATTCGAGCCCTCAATTTTGTGATTCAAAGCTTTACTATTATGATTCATGCAATAAAAAAAAAAAAATATGCTGTGACCTGCTGAGCTATGAACAATAAATAATCATTTTTGTAACAACCATAAATCAATTACAGAATTGTTCTATAAAAATGACAAAAATAAAACTGACTTAACTCACATACAAATTCTTTATGGTAGTAATATTAATCATAAACCATAAATTTGAAACAAGATTAGGATAAGCAAATAAACTTACGTTTTGCAGGTGGAATAGGTGACGGAAACTTCTTCAGGTCCTTTCTGAGCAAGATAATTGGATTCTCAGCCGTGGTCTCTGGATAGTTCCTGTTATCCATAGAGAACGTATTCACATCCAGGATCTGATCTTTGAAACACAAAAGTTGCTGTTCTGTTGAAATGTGCGTCTCCTCCTCAACACTTTTCGTAAACTTGTCCCATCCACTCCCTGGATGAATGTAGATGTTGACTGTTTGCGCAGTGACCGCATTGAACACATGTACCTTCTGAAGATTAAGAATTTCCTGGACCATGTGGAAGTAATCATTGAACGACAACATTCTATCCAGTTCACATTCCAGCAACCCAGCAAGCAGCTGTCGGACTTGCCTCTTAAGAGGTCTAAATAAAAAGAAGCTTTGATGAGTCATGGTGTAAAACAAAAAATATACAGTTAATCTTGCCTAAGTCGACTTTTCTTTTTCTAAGTCGACTTTTCTTTTTCTAAGTCGACTTTTCTTTATCTAAGTCGACTTTTCTTTTTCAAAGCGACTTTTCTTTTTCTAAGTCGATCTTATTTTATATGCCAAATTGTTGTATTTTCCATTAGTTAACAATCTTTAAGTCAAATTTTATCTAAGTCAACAATTTTTCAATGGCATTTTGGATTCGACTAATAGGCAAGTTCAACTGTATGTCCATTTAGGTCACAAGTACTGCAGTTTGTTTTTCAATGCTGTGTTGTCAGCAAATGTTTTATTTTGGCCAATTTAGCAAAAGTAGCAACAGTTTAATTGTACCAAATTGGAATAACAATCATGGTAAAAGGATCTTTCAGTACAGACCCTGCCAAAGAATGGAATAACTTACCAAATGACATAAGAAAATATACAAACAAGATGCATTTGGACATTTCCAAAAATGCTATTTCTTAATTTTGCATTTTATCATATTTAAATTATATTTGTTTTTGTTCTTTTCAGTTATTTTAAATGTTAATACAGTATATGCCTTTTGTTTTTTGTTTTTATTATTTAAAATGATTGTATTTGATTATGTTAAGTTTCTATTCTTATCATGTTAAAAATAACTGGACCATTTGGGAGACCAGTACTTTGCACTGAAAATATATCCAGTCAAAAGAAAGAATAAATAAATATTCTGGGCGATGTAGAGCAATACATAAAAATAAAAATATTACAGTACCACCTTTTACACTGAAAAAATACAAAAATAATTTGTCTCTATAAATATAAGACCCTGGTTCTTAGCATGCGGGCCAAATTTGGTCCACGAGGCAAACTATTCTGGAACGTGAGAAAAAAATAAAATAATTATTATACAGTAATAAATATTCAATGAATATTTTGTCAATAAAGAGAAGGCCAAACACAACACTGGGCCAATGTGAAGCAGGGTTGACCCCACACAGATCTAGAATTCATACCAACCAATCAACAAATGCCAAAGATTGGTAAATATGACATAGCAGATTAAAAATAAAAACTTTATCATAGATTTGTTTTTATTAAAAGTAGACTTGAGATTTTACAGACAAAGTGTCCTTAGGCTTTAAAGCCATGGGGCGGATTGCTATAAGCGGTTTTTAGACGGTCTTAACGGTTAGCCAGCTATAATCGTGAAGTCACTACTGGTCTATGATAATAGACCATTGCTATACTGCGGTCTTATTTCAGGAATTAAGACTACCAGCTAAGACCATTTTATAGCAATCCGCCCCTGGTATTTGGTGGGTATAGGTTGAACAAACTATGATGCCTTTATTATTATTATTTTAACAATTACTGTGTTTTTCTTACGATTATGCCTACATTTTTATTTTTGGCTTAAAAATACTACTAATAATACTATTTTTTCTTTTTGGGTAAAAAGCCCAATTCAGAAAATGATACTTTACAAACAATTGTTGCACTTGCACAAGTTCTATTAGCAGACACCGACATATTAAATGCCCAGCGACCCTCCAAATATCTTGGCGATTCATAACTTGGGACACGACCGATAGTTTGAATAACAGGGCCTAACATTACCAAAATGAATGGAAATTTAAATCGAAGTATTGTTTGAAGGTTTGCATGGCGAAGTAATAACATAGATGTATAATGTTAAAGCTTGTGGTACACCAAGTAGGTAGTTCTGAAAAGAACAGTTGTAATTGAGAAAGTCTCGACGTTTCGATTGAGATGCTTCAATCGTCTTCAGGAGAATAATATCTGTAGAAACTCCAAACAGAGAAATATTTATATGTTTGGGTAGCTGGTTGGTGCTTGGATGGATAAACTGACCAATGAGAAGACAGCTAGTGAAAGGCTAAAAGACAAAGACAAAGGGTGGGAACGCCCAAAGGCAGAGATGGTTCCAGAGGCATGAAAAGGTGGGAACGACCAAAACAAAGGACGGGGTAAATCGATTAACAAATTATTCAGAAATCCATTAAATACGGCCTCAAAATGCTACTTTGTTGGAGATGTTCAACTTCTGATGATTTTACACAAGCAAGAAATAAAAGATCATCAATAAGCAAGAAATAGTGAAAAATGAAGCAACTTAAATCCTTGATTGGCAAAATATTCAATCAATCTTATGGTGCAAAAATTGTAATAAATTTAGTGTCCTAATATTGTGCTGTAGTACAAATAAAAATAGAATAGAATTTGATATTGCTTCAGCTATAGCATCTCAGATTCAAAATCATCAACATTTGCATTCGACGTGTTCACTAAAACAAGGTATAAAAAAAGTCTCGTCTAATAAAAACAACATTACTAACTTTCATTAAATATATGAGGGTGAACTTTAAATTTACGCTATTAATTGTAACGCCCTCTATCACACTATAACAGAAAAAAACAATGTGTTTTAAAATATTAAGAAGTTAATATTTCCATTCATAACAATCTTTCGCAAATTCAATTCAATTCAATTTCAGTTTATTGGTCAAACATACAGGCAAAAAAATGAGTGTACATGCTGAACATTGTCTAAAAATATTTCAAAATATAAAACACAACATTCAAAGAAAGTTTAAAAAACGGTATGTAATATAATTCTATATCCATGTTTCTTCTTAACATAGAATTTTAAATAAAAGTAGGCGTAATAATCGGAGAAGAGAATTACTAAAGGGCAAAAGTACTGCAGTAGAGCAGACATGCTAACAATAAAATCAACGCACCCTTCCTTTTGTCACTCCTTACTAGAAATAATATTGCCGCTCCTTGCCAGAATATTAGCTGCTGCAGCCAAATATGGGTGTATATAGAATGACTAGGAAATAGGTGTGATATATAGACCAAAAGAGCAAGTATATTATTGTTAAAAAGATTTCCTGTTTTCTTTCCTCTATTTCTTATGTGAACCCGGAAATTTTTAAAATAATGTTTTTACAATATGTAGGCTTCATCAGTATTTCATCAGTATAAATGCATCAAGTTTGATTGTACATTGCTTTTGTATCAACTATTCAACGACAGAGTTAATTTACATAGAGAAAACAAAGAAGCAAAAATAAAAACAAAAAATAATATGTAACTACAGTAAGAGGAAAAATACATTGGAAAATTACTTGGGAAAGACAGCTGGGAAAAACAGCCAGGAGAAAATAGCCGA